TATGATATAAAAATAATATTTTGTATTTTTATAATCTTAGTGTCTCATATAATTTTTTCTAATCGCAATACCTATCACACTATTTATGACAATATTATAAAGAGAAGTAATCGATCTTTGGCATTACGTACATTTGTACAAAATAAGATCTCTATATAATCTCCATATAGTCTATATAATAACGAATTATCTACATATATATTGGTTAAAGAAAACTGTCTTGACTTTAAAAAACTTAGATAACTGTAACTTCAATTTGTATGATCAAACAACTTTTAAAAGATAATATTTACCTTCAGAAATAAACTGGAGAAATGAAAATTTGTAACTTAGATATAATTGGATAAAACAAATATGCATTATTTTATAATGACAGTTATTGTAGCAGTAACAATAAATGCTAGTAACATAGTTGTATGCTTTTTATCATTTTTATCTTTATATAATCTCTATAAATATTTATACGTGTTTTACAAACTTTATCTCATTTTGACACAATTCCTAATTTTGCAAGCAAGGACGTAATCAAATTACATATGAGGATATTTAAACTAACTTTTGGAAAAGAAATACATATTGCACAAGTATCACTTTAATTCAAACACAAAATAATTTTATCTTATCAAGTAATACTGCATTTTTTATATCGAAAACTTTTAGAGAGCATTCTGTTTTTACGAAGAAATATTGTTTGGAGCAGACTTTATGATCTTATAACTCGAACATAGTTTTCATATGTTTCATTACATATCGGACAACGTTTAGTTTCTAAACGTATAATGCATTCGATACAACAAGCGAGGTGACTGCAAGGTAGGAAAACGTGTGTTCGTTCGTTACTGTAACACACCGTACAAATATTTAAGGATGATTCTTCCTTGGATGTACTTGGACTATCCTGCAGCATCCAGTGTACAGTATGAAATGGAAGATCTTCTGTATAGGCATTGCTCTCATTTGTAGATGAATGCAAATATCCGTAATCGTCTTCTGGAACTTCATATATTGATTCATCGTCTGTAAAAATAAAAGAGAAGAAGAAGAGTAAAAAATATAGTCTATAAATCTAGAAGAGAAAGATTAATTTTAATTGCATATTTTGAAGCAGCTTGAAGTGCTAAATAGTAATATTACCTTGTATATTTGCGATTCCACTTTCTGAATCAGAAGTAATATCAATTGTCTGAGATTGTCCATGCTGTGTCATTTGTGTCGTTTGCATTATATCATGTGTATCTGTTGTCCTCTGTGTATCGGAAGAACTTTCACAATCTTGGTCTGGAAATAAATTATTTTAATATATTTTTGTGTAATTTATTTAATACATAACTAGTAAAGGAAACTAATAAAGAGAGAAAGAAGAGTTAAAATATAGTCTATAAATCTATGTGAGACAGATTAACTTTAATATCTTGAATTACTAAGTAGTAATATTACCTTGTGTATTTGTGATTCCACTTTCTGAATCAAAAGTAATATCGATTGTCTGAGATTCTTCATGCTGTGTCATTTGTGTCGTCTGCATTATATCATGTGTAACTGTTG